GAAAATAAAAGCAGAAGAAAAAGAATTAGGTAGTAGACAAACAACTGCAGAATCGGCTTCTTCCACGAAATATGTGCAAGGAAGAGATGTGTGCATGTCACGTGTATGAGACATGAAAATAAAGAAACTACGTTATACTCTTTCTTATGCCATCCAGCTTTGGATTAGATGGAGGTGGTTGTTGACTCATGATAAACAATTGGAAACTTCCTACTATATTTATACGTATAATGTAATAACAATGTAAAGTTTACTGATTCCAAATTTTTGTTATAAATAGTTGACGCTAACCCATAAAGATTTTAGAATACTTTTTAGGATGATCTAATTTTTGTAAAGGTTTATATGCAGGTAAAGTTATTTATAATAGTCCATGGAAACATTTTCTGTCTTTCAAAGCCCGCATAGATATACTGGCCTACTACTTAACGCCTCTCCCGAGTCAGAAATGCCGATTTTCGTCGGAATTATCGACTTTGAGAAAAGCACATGGTTGCAGCCCAAAGTGTCTGCGTTCTAGTGGCATAACTTTTGTGTCGATGGGATAGGTTGTTATAGGTTTTGTGCGAGTTTTCCAGAAGCTCTATAGCAAAAAATGTTTTTTTTGCATTTGTTTCGCACAAGCGCCGGAATGTACCGCACATGGCTGTGCGCGTGTTCATTAGATCTGCCATGACCGATAACGTATCGCAAAATATCAACAAATTATTTAACGTTCAAACAGTTTTTAAGTTAAAACACATTTAACAGATGTTTACTGCAAAACAAAAACAGCCCCAGCTGTCCATCATTTAGCTGGAATGAGAATTCTTGTGCATGGTAGACGCCTACTTTTGGCCCTTGTTGTGGCACACTAAGACGAGTAGGCTTCGACAGATAAAAGTCAGTTCCTATGGAGATCATCTCTTGAAAGGGAAACGAGGATCAGGTCCCCCAGCTTACTATAAAACTGAATAATCAAAAGTAGTCTGATCATCTCATCATTTGCACCCATCGTAATCAGATTTCCTTGTTGAACACTCGTTATGACAAAAGATAGAAACGATCGATATCTCACCGGTTTAAAGGCTCTCCGACTCAGAAAAAACTTTTTTGTCTTACATCCGATTTTGATCAAACGTTCAGCAAATGTTGTGATACTCAATGGTGTGATCACACCCTTTTCCTTAATACAGCTCAAGATAGAGATCTCGGGTTGGTTTTATTTTAAACTAGATATATAACTGGGAGGACTGATGGGTCCAGATCTTTTAATTAGGCTTTTATTGGTTCTCTGGAGACGCAAGATCCTAAAAAACCCTGAAAGATCATTTCAAGTTTTCCAAAGTTTCTTTTTTCCTAAGGAACTAAGGCCTAATAAAAAAATCTGCTTCTATCAAGCATCGCAGAATTTTATACTCTTTCGATTAAGAAAAAATTTCTTTCTATGATGAACCGTTATTAAGAAAAGAGATCTACAGTAGACGAGATTAGACAAAAAATCGTGGTTTGAGAGAAAACGCTGTGTATTCGTTGGTTTGTTTTAGGATATGTGGGAAAATGCTTGTAATTTTTGAATGCAAGATCATGCAGAGTTGTGCAACGCCTTATTTTGATCAAAAGAGTCTGCTCTACACATCTACGTGTTCAGAAAAATTTACTTGCTTAAGTATCCAGAAAAGAATTATTATTTGAAGATCTAGGTTTCAAGGCTTCTATAAAACTTGCTCGAAGACTATGAAAAATCAGTTCTAGGCCCGAAAGCGATACAGATTCTATAAGTAGACACTTCAGGCTATCTTTCCATGTTCTTATCTCCAAATTGATTTTTGATACAAAAATATTTCATTCTGAGCGGTCTCGTAAGTGCAGTGCATCACCAGAGGCCGATTGCTGACACAGACTCTGTACAGATATGAAACGAATTGTTTGTGTAGCATTTGTTATTGGTTTGGTTAGTTTTAGAGAAAAAATTTCCACAATGTCTAATCATACAATTCTAGAAAAAGATCAAAGACAAAATGAGCATTCCGTTTCAGAGAGAAAACGCAAAATGAGTGATGATAATCCGATCGCTGAAAGGAAACGGATTCTGCATGGTCGTTCAATATTTGAAAAAGAAAACACATGGAATGGTGCCACTCAATCTTACGAAGTGGCTGATATTAATCTGGCTGATTCAGGTAGAAAAGAAATAACGATGGCTGAAACTGAAATGCCTGGACTTATGAGACTTAGAAAACTTTATGGAGGATCGAAGCCTCTAAAAGGCGCAAGGATAGCCGGTTGCCTTCACCTAACCGCACAAACAGCTGTTCTTATTGAAACACTTGAAGCGTTAGGTGCTGATGTAAGTCTATTCCATTTTTTCCTCTTCAGCTTCATTATTTCGTTAATTTCTAAATAGGTACAGTGGAGTAGTTGTAATGTGTTATCAACACAAGATCATGTTGCAGCTGCTGTTGCAAAGGCTGGAACACGAGTTTTTGCATGGAAAGGGGAAACAGAGGAACAAAAGTTATGGTGTATTGAACAGGTGAAATCAATAACAAAATAAAATAGCAGTTGAACCCTTCTTTTACTTTTAAGACATTGGATTTTCCTGATGGCCAACCATTGAATATGATACTAGACGACGGCTGTGCATTAGTATCCTTACTTTATGAAAAACATTCAGATTTGGCCAGTGGTATTTATGGTATAAGTGAAGAAACAACTGCTGACATATACTTATTAACGAAAATATTAAAAGAAAAACGATTAAATATCCCTGTTATGAATGTGAATGACAGTGTAACAAAATCGAAATTTGATAACTTGTACGGATGTCGCGAAGGTCTCATTGATGGTATCAAACGTGCTACGGATGTAATGATAGGTGGCAAAGTAGCTGTTGTCCTCGGATATGGTAATGTGGGGAAAGGCAGTGCACATGTATTAAGAAATTTTGGTGCTCGAGTAATTGTCACAGAAATGGATCCTATTTGCGCGCTCCAGGCAGTTATGGAAGGTATAAGAGGGCATTAGTAATTTATATGTAGACAGATAAGAGTGAGCGATCTGTTATAGGTTATGAAGTGACAACGATGGAAGAAGCATGTAAAATTGGACAGATATTTGTAACAGCCACTGGTTCTCGTGATCTTATACGTAGTGAACATATGACAAAAATGCCAGATAATGCAGTTGTGTGCAATGTTGGACATGGTGACATTGAAATTGATGTTTTATGGTTAAAACAAAGTGCTATTAACAAAGAGACAATTAAACCACGAGTAAGAGCAAACTCTTCGAACCTATCGTTCATCTGCTGCATAGGGCTTAACATAGTCAACAATTTTTTATTTTAGACGCCAACTTTGTTTGATTCTCCCTACATGCTGGCAATGGAGTCGGAAAAGTTTTCTCACACCTATACAATTCAAAGTTAACTTTTACTGAAAAGTTTTACGTAGTCCAGGTCATATGTTGTGGGTCGAAAAGGTCAAACTATTCAACGTTTTCGTACGGAAAAACTCGTTGTTTGTCAGCTATCCCACAACCAAATCGTATTACACTAAAACTGTTATCAATCTGTTCTCTACAAAACGAGCTATTTTGCAGAAAAACCTGAGAACATCCGAACAAATTGGTAGGGTGTTCAAAAGCTTCTTAAAAACGATAATTTGCTAACTCATGTCCAAGTGCGTCTAAGTTGACGGATGGAAACCGCCAGTTAGTAGAAAAATTGGGACTAAGATACACTGGTACGCAAATGTATTAGCCCGTTAAAACGGATTTTTTCTATCTTCCTGGAAATGTCGTCAGCTTCTAACAATGGTACTATACTGCGAAAGACCCTACCCCCAGATGGAGCGCTTCCTCGATACCTCGAAAAGATGCTGGACTGAATGGGAAGCAAATCTCACAGCATTTTTGGGCACATTCGAAGCGCTCCATTTTAATGTAAATTAGCTCATTTTCCAGAGAGCTGATTGATAACAGTTTTAGTGTAATACGATTTGGTTGTGGGGTAGCTGACAAACAACGAGTTTTTCCATATGAAAATATTGAATAGTTTGACCTTTTCGATCCACAACATATGGCCTGAACTACCTAAGACTTTTCAGTAAAAGTTAACTTTGAATTGTATAGGTGTGAGAAAACTTTTCCGAGTCCATTGCCACCATGTAGGGAGAATCAAACAAAATTGGCGTCTGAAATGGAAAAGATTTTTGATTATGCTTACTTGGATTTATGAGTAACTTTGAGCGCCCTATCCTCTGAGATCGTATTTTCGCATTATTCTCGTGAATCGATGATTGGATTTGCAGCGCGTGCCAAGTTGTGCATGAATCCATGTTTGTTTTCTTTTCAAGTCATGTCCTGCGAGTATGGCGATGGCCTAATTCTCAAAACATCCTCCATAAGATTGGTCCGTTTGTCCGAAACAATTGTTATGAAAAAAGTCTGATTTGATCGTTCCATAGAGCTCTAAACATTGTACATAAAAGAAGTAATTTTTCTGATTCCAACTCTAAAACCAGTCATATAAGCACGATCGGAAAAACCTTGCAGAATCAACGGAAAACCACCATTCTTTTAAATAGCTT